ACCAAAAATCTTCAATCTGGAGTTCCTTCGAGCTTCAGAAGGCACGTTAAGCCATTGGTCCCGGCTGTATCTGCAGTCGTTAGAACCCGCTAATCCGTACTGGGCCCGCGTACTGGGTTATGGCCCAATCTCCCTATTCCACCCATAGGGAAGGCCTGTGCCCCAGCAGTGGGGATATTAATAGGCTGATAATGATTTCCTAAATAACTATGAGGAGTTTGATAGCATAGTGGTTAAAACGTTCGGTCTGTGGTCATGGTATTTTAGCTATGTGTCGTGTGAGACGGGTCGTTATGTTCCCTAAAATATGGTTGAGCGAAGCGATGGCTGGTTTATGCGTCCTGCTCTTGAACGGGTGCTACCAGCGGAGACATGTCTGCCCTAACTACTTTGATATTTAAGATGTAAATGTTTAATTACACCTATTATAAATAACTCTACTTGTATTATTACTGTGTGACACAGCAATCAAAATGCAGGTGAACAATTAATGTATAATTTCACATTATGTAATAAATAAAAGGCGACTTCATGAATTCTCTGAAGTAATTTTTCAACTTGACGACTCTGTAAATGATAAAACAAGGAGAAAAAAACAGCCCTTGCTGAGTTTCTTACCGGTTCTTCTCAGTACAAGGTCTCCCGCCGTAGATTTACGAACCGATGGCGTAGCTTCTAGACATTCATATGTGCTTGTAACAGCCTAAACTGAATAAATGATTTTGATTGATTGATTGATTATGGTGGGTCATAATTTGGGTGACCAGCAATCTCATTATCATCTAGAGCTCCTGCGTGTGCTCCATTGGTCCCAACTGTATCGGCTGTATTTGTACTTACCAATCCACACTGGATCGGCGTGGTGGTTAAAGACTCTGTGGCCGAGTGGTTTATATTCCAAGGATTTCAAGGTGTCGCCTACTCGAGAGGAGAGGGTTCAAATCCCGGTGGGTGTAGATGTTTGTGTGATGAACACGAGCATTTGTTCTCCAGTCATGGATGTTTAATATGTACTTCTATATGAATATACTTTTATGTGTATCAGTATATGTATTCTATCCGTTAGGTACCCTACTATATCATAACACAAGCCTACAGTGCTTCCTTTGGGGCTAGGCTAATTGGTGTGACGGCAGCCCCCCCTTGTAGTTCTGTCCTGCAAAGAGGAGGGCGGCGGAGGGAGCTACACGGGCGCGCCCAAGTAGCCCTCCGCAGCGGACGGGGGGTGGTACGGTGGGCACTAGGCCGCGTACTCAGCCCCCACGCCCGCGCACGTCTGCGGGTTCCCGTGATACCCCGGGAGACCCCTGCCGTGGAGCCCCGGCTAGACCGGGAGGCTGCTAGGTGCGGAGACGCGGAAGAATCCCTAAACGGAGCTCGGCAGCTCCGTGCTAAGCAGCTTAGAGGGTATTCGCAGGACTTTTTTAGCGGATGTTATACCGTAAAGCGCCCGTAAGAGTTGCGAGGTCCTTGGTGGGCAGCCACTGGGGGGTTCGTAAGACTTGCGGGAGCCAGGTGTGAGGTCCGTTCGGCGGTGTGCCTCTTAAAGGCGCCGTCGTCTGTAAATAGATTTTTTACCTGCGTATTAAAAAAAAGGCTAATTGGTGTGAGTGTTGGAAATATATCTATATATTTACTATTCCATCCATAGGGAAGGTCTTTACTCCAACAGTGATTCTGATTTGCCTTCCGAAGCACGGAGGAGTTCCTAATAGTAAATTATGGTCACCTATCCAAATAACGGCCATTGCGAAAGTTGTTTATATTCCACTTCAATATTGGTCGGAATTTGATATATCTAAGCTTAAAGATAAAATGTAGCGAATCAACTGTAGGAAGGCCAAAGGGGAAGATCTTCCTCCGAGCTGGGTGATGGTAGCTCGGGGGCCGCGGCCCGACTAATGTTGGTCGGGCATCGTATATATGAAGAGTTAGCTTCCGAATTTCATTTGCGCGATGTAGGCTTCCATACTATTATGATCGCAGTGCAGGTAACACCATCTCTTGAGGATGGTGAGTAATGATTTCCTCCATCCGTTGTATAAATGTGGGGCATATAGATGTCGTCGCCACACAACGATGAATATTTTCCTTATCATCTTTTTTTTCAAATATCACTCGCACCGTTTCCTACCCTGATCCAATCCACTACATCGCGGAGCCCTAGAACATTACACACTGACAGAAACACACACCACCAAAAGGTTGTGTTATTTTACTGTGATCCGTTGTAAGGTGGAGGTTATTTCCCTTACCCCTACCTCTCTTAACAAATAAGAATACTAAGGTACTAAAACACGTACATCAAAGTCAAGTAATGATTTAGACAGAGTCATAAATTATTTATTACGTTCCTATTGACGGTACGTAGAAGTGAGCGCGCCAAAGGTGAAAGTTCACGAAACAATAAGACACTAACGGAGTTGCTAGCTACAACGTTTACAATTCACCGAATTGTTCTTCCGAAACCCATGCATTCTCGAACATCACACATAATTGGGAAGAATTTTCCTTCATACACTCACGCTTTCAGTGTGAATCCACCCAGATAACTACAATCTACTAAGTTCTATTCATATTCCATTTCATAAAGGTAAAGTAAATCATCAATATCAATTTGGCGACTTCAAAATATTAAATTGACGACGAAATTGACGACCTCCGCGGCCGATGGGTTTATACACCAACTTTTAAGGTGTAATCTACTCGAGAGGTGGTTCGAATCCCGGTGGGGGCATATGTTAGTGTGATGAACACGAGCATTTGTTCTCCAGTAAAGGATGTTTAATATGTTTTTCTATATGAATGTGCTTTAATATGTATCAGTATATGTATTCTATCCGTTATCCTAGTATCCCATAACACAAGTCTACAGTGCTTACTTTGGGGCTAGGCAAATTATTGGTGTGTATGTTGGAAATATTTATTTATTTTATAAATAATTGTTTAAATCATGTCCTTTTATTGACTCTACTTTATATCCAAACTCAGGCAATAAAGATGATAACGGAGTAGTGAAAATTGTACGAAAACGTGATGTCATACGACATTGCAAATAAATTCAATTTAAATTCTGTAATGTATTAGTTATTTGAAAAAATTAAAAACACGTGTCCAATAGTTTCTGATAATCAATCTAGGCCAAGAAAAAAAATGTGTCATCATCCCTATTGTCATGGCGAACGAAAGGTTTTTTATTATGATAAAATATTAGTAAACTGGTTAATAAGACAGCCAAAACAGAGGATTTTTTTTTCAAATAGAAGCCGCGGTAGCATAATGGTCAGTGCAATCGCACGGATAGCTGCCTGGTCCGCGTCGATTTTTTTCTAGTAACATTTTCTTTAGATTTAAAAATCGAGCAAGTTACATGCTTAAAAAATAAAAATTATAAGTAGAAGATTAATAAGAAGGGAAAGGAAGCCGATAAAGCTTAGAAAATGCCTAGTCTATTAATCGACACTAGAAACGGATACTCAAATCCGCCAGTTTAAGGGGATAACCCGATAAGCTGGCAGCACTGGATACATAAAACCCACGCTTGGTTGCTCAGTCTACTGTAATTATTATTGGCTATCCCAATAAGACCTTAATATATATATATATAAAACTATCTCTTAAGTATTGCTTACTGGAGCTGAACCCCGTTACGTAATGATATTTCTTTCCAATTTCAATTAGTATTTATTGCATAATAATACTCTGTAGGAACTTTATTAAAAATAAATAATAACAATAAATATTTTCAACACTCACACCAATTAGCCTAGCCCCAAAGTTAGCACTATATGTTGTCTGCCCTAAATACTTTGATATTTAAGATGTAAATGTTTAATTATACCTATTATAAATAACTCTGTTTGTATTAATACTATGTGACACAGCAATCAAAATGCAAGTGAACAATTAATGTTTAATTTCACATTATGAAATAAAAGGTGACTTCATGAATCATCTTTGAAGTCATTTTTCAACTTGACAACTCTGTAAATGATAAAACAGGGAGAAAAAAACAGCCCCTGCTGAGTTTCTTGCCGGTTCTTCTCAGTACAAGGTCTCCCGCCGTAGATTTACGAACCGATGGCCTAGCTTCTAGACATTCATATGTGCTTGTAACAGCCTGTACTGAATAAATGATTTTTATTATGATTATTATTATGATTACTGTACATATATAAGTATATTTATATAGAAAAACATATTAAACATTCATGACTGGAGTACAAATGCTCGTATCATCATACAAACGTCTGCCCCCACCGGGATTCAAACCCTCTCGAGTCGGCGTCACCATGAACCCGGCGTAACCACTCGGCGACGGAGGTCGTCAAATATTAGTTGGTTATTTAACGGAAAGTCTAGTTTTACCTACCAAAAAAAAAAGCCAAAAGCCAAAGTAAAAATAATTATTATGTCCAAATTGCATAATACGGCTTTTGAATCGTCGATTTTGCACTCTTCTAGTAATGAAGACAGTTTGAAATTATTTGTTTGAAATAACAATAAGGATTGAGAACTTTTATATTTTATATTTTTTGTTAAATTCGTCTTCTTCCAGTGAGAATGAAGAGGCTATTATTGAAGGTCAGCTACTAATGTCCACCAATACTTGTTTTTTTTCCATAGCTAGTCTAAACACTGACTTGATTCCTGTCCATTCCCTATATATATGAGGAGCTGGCGAACAAAACAGTATAATTACGCATCTGGTTAAACTACTTTTTTTACAGTCCGGAGGTTTCGGGCCCGTTGAATTTGAATCTCAAATGATTTTCAATCAAAATCACCTAAAACACTGTTAAAATTACTATATTCATAAAACTAAAAACTATGCCAAAACCGCACTGTAGGTATGTCATTCAGTTTTATACAGGTCCTGTAAATTTTAATTTTATGTAATTATACCGTTTTGTTCGCCAGCTTCTCATATATGAAGCGAAGAAAGTACCCTACCCCACCTGATGGTAAGTGTAAACGGAGTCCAGTCGCGAAGATAGATTATGCGGCGGAAAATGTGCCGCTCCAGCCATCCTCATCTTGCCGACCTGAACCCAATTCATCTTGCCGACCTGAACCCAATTCCCTGCCCCGTGAAACTCTGGAACCCTACTCACCAGTAGAAATACAACACCACGAAGAGGTAGTGTTATTTTACTGTGCTCTTCTGTAAGGTAGCGGTTCCTTTCCCAGTCAGGCGCCCCAATTCGATCGGTAAATCTTCTGTGCCTTACTTCTCTTCCAATGTCGCGAAGTCAAAATGTTCTTCTTCTTCCAACTTGTCGATTACCTATAGACACTGTCAGCTATCTTCCTCATTATTATCATTTAGTTGTAAGCATGCCAAAAGAACTGAATGGTTAAAATTATTCATGTCGGTTTTTTTCTTTTCTCTTGCAGATTGGAAGTGAATGGTGTAAGGAAGGGCGAAGAGGAGGCAAATGTGATATCACCTGTGAATGTAAGTTATAGTAAGTCCAGCAAGTTAGCGCAAGTCGCAGCGCAGTAACCTATATATTACTGTCGTTTTAAGCCACATATGTTGGGCCAAGCGAAGTTCAATACCAACGTATCGACAACATATTTGTCTTGCCTTGGCATCGCTCTGTGTCACTTGCCTAATTTGCCGACTAAAAGAAGCGCCAACGTGTATAGACCTCATTTGGCGTCGCTTGCTGACGCTCGCCAACATTTGTCGCACGTGTCTATAATAACTGATAGCCCATCCACTTATGGGCAGCTCGACAAAGCTCTTCTATATTTCAGACTTGCTCAAACGTCTAGACGCTCGCGTTGTTTTAAGCGTAGCTAACATACAGGGTGTAAAAAAATCCTATGAAAAAGGTTAAAACTACGCATTCTGTACATCCAAACAAGTAATATTACAAAATGTCTATACGTGTTAGTTAGGTGTTTACTAACATAGTTAATAATTTTATTTACTAATAACAATGTTTTATATTTGTATATATGTTAGACTATAAGGTATTTATCTGATTATAAATATTATCTTATGTAGCCTGATTATAAAAAATAAATAAAAAAAAATATTATACGTGTGATACATTTGTATTTTTAAGTTAAAAAAATACAAAAAAAAACCAGTACACAATGTATAGCGCGGCGCGCTACTGTGGCGCTACGCAAAGATTGTGCCTGTGAGTATGTGTGTGCGTGTGTGTAAGTGTGTCGATAAAAAAGTTACTAAATAACGTTTTGAAAATATTAATGAAAAATCTTAAAAAAATATTGTGAGTTTGACCTTAAATATCTCCATAACCATAAATTACCTAGGTATGGTCCAGAAGAAAAAAATAATCGACATGATGTGGAAAATACGTGGCTTTCGACTTCGTTAAAGGAGTTTTTACACTCTCTATATTGGCGGCATTAGGTGCGTGCGTGGTTTCCCTGATCTTAAACTTAAGCTCGCTGGTGACGTCACAACAGCCACAAACTTTGATTGGCACTATAATTGCTTTTACACGACACGTGTTTATCAACAACACCTATGCTTTTAAAGTTGAGGCACAACGTAGATGAGTTTTTTTTCTCTTTTCTAGAGTTTAGAAAGAGAAAAAAATAGCCAATACGAAGGTTCGAAAAGTCAATACTGCGTTAAACGCAGTATTGACTTTTCGAACCTTTCGCTCCTCTTACATAGCCCGGATAGCGAAGGGTGCGGGTTCGAGTCCCGTCTGCTGCCTGGTCCTGGCGTGGAATTTTTACATTACATGCTTAAAAAAAATATAATAGTTATATTTATCTTACTTACATTTTTCAATAAAATTGAATAGGACACGGCACGACGACGATCAACTTAAATTGAATTATCGATCTAAAAAAGACCACACATCACTTCCCTAATAGAGATTACATGATTATTTTTATATCATAGCTTAAATTCCCTTAAAATAATAATATTCAACTTGACTAACATATTCTGTGAACATGGCGCTTGTTTGTCGATTTGTTGTTATGTATTTATAGGTAACTACCGCTCTATCGCGTTTCAGATATTTGAATCTCCCACAAGATTTTAAAATAATATTAAAAAAGAAGAATTCTTGAAATGTCATAAAAATATTGATGGAGGGATAGTTAGAAAAAAATTAAAAAATAGAGTTTGTATAAAAAACACCTCATTTGAATTGCAAGCTTAATATGCAAATGCATTCCTTATTACTTTTTTGATAAATAAAGGGTGTAAAAAATCTTTTTTAACGAAGTCGAAGGCCATGTATTTTCCTAATCATGACGATATTTTTTTTCTTCTGGACCATACCTGGGAAATTTATCGTTATGGAGATATTGTAGGTCAGTCACAATTTTTTTTTCAAATTTTTACATTAATATTGTCAAAACGTTATTTAGAAACGTTTTTTATCGACTCACTTACACCCACGCACACACATACACACAGGCACATTCTTTGCGTAGCGCCACAGTAGCGCGCCGCGCTATACATTGCGTACTGGAAAATAAATTGTTTTTTCTTAACTTAAAAATAATATTTAATAATATTTTGTAATATTACTTGTGTGCACAGAACACGTAGTTTGAGTCTCTGTCATAGAATTTTTTACACTCTGTATGTACAAAGTAGAACAAGCCTTTCCGCGATAGGACTTCACTTTCTTAGAAGACAAGTTAAAGGTTGCCAAATTCCATGTGTTCTCATCTTGCACTTGTTGTTTATATTTATTTTGTTTACATAAAAATAACTTAAATCTTGGTTTCACAGCTTAGTCTTTGTCATAGGATTTTTCACACCCTGTATGTACAAAGTAGAACATGCCTTCCCGTGATAAGACTTTACTTTCTTAGAAGACAAGTTAAAGGCTGCCACATTTTATGTTCTCATCATGCACTAGTTGCTTATATTTGTTTTGTTTGCATAAAAATAACTTAAATCTTACTTTCACAGCTTTAATAGATGATGACATAAGAGACGATGCCAACTGCGCACAAAAAGTTTTCGACATGGAGGGTTTCAAGTATTGGAGCAAATGGGAAGCGCGGTGCAAGGGGCATATGCTACCCGACATTGAAAAGTGAGTTTTTTTTTATGTTTGACAACGTGAGACCGCTTACGTACATTCCTGTCGCAGGGGAAATCTAAGGTGTAAGAGTGGGAATGACCCTTAATTACCTCCTCAATGAGGGCTACCGTTTTCTGCCTCACCAGATGGCGCCACTATTGAGTGAGGTCCTAAATTGTAACTTTTAAAGTTTATTAATACGCACATGAAATCAAAGGTTACATTAAGATCGTATTTTAACACAAAAGAACCATATCCTAAACATAATAGGCCATGCCACAGTGACGCGCAGTTCCGTTTTATTCGGAAAAAATGGGAACATAATCATTTTTCTAAGCTCAAATTTTTAATAACTGACATTCATTGCCACATAACTCATATTTGCCATAATTAAGCCGAATTGTTACCAATTATTCACAACATTATTTTAATTAGAAATAAACCCGCGTAGTCAACCAACAAGCAATAACATTTGACATTTCGGAGACCTCACGCTACACTAGCGCCTCTAGCGGCGGATTCATACGCGATAGCCCTAATTGTGATGATGTGTAGGCAAACAGGGGAAACCGACTTGAAAAACATTTTTTAATCATTCAAATTCAGAACTTTCAAAAATTCATAACCAACTTAGAAACTATTTTCGTTGTTAAGTAACCATTTGTTTTGTTGGAGAATTTTAGCGTCAAATAATGACTTGGTTACTTATCAACAAAGTAATTACATATGAACAAGTAACTACTTGTTTATAAATACGAGTGCTAGTACCAAAACGCGTGTCATTTTAAGTGCCAATTTAAATATAGGTATTTCCGAATCGATAATATCAATTACAATAAATCTAATCTCCCCTTTTATTCGCTACAACAAACTAACGCAATTTCCCAAATCTAACAATTTTGTTAATAAAATTACTAGGTATAAATATTTTCCGTAATTTCACTGTTATTTATTATTATTGTATACCCTACTGATGAAATGAAACATTCGTCGTGAAGTGATTACGCCTCCTGTTGTTAAGGAAAAACAGATCGAAAAAGAATTGTCACGTACTAACAGATGAATACAATAGCGATATGGTGTATTTAAGGTCATGGATACAATGAGATTGGACACGTTCCGAAGTATCGGTAATCCCCATCCTTGGTTACTTTTTCGAGTGATGTCATCATTACCAGTCTATTAATGTCACTACTGCTGGGGCACAAGCCTACAGATTAATCCTACAGATGTTTTTATAAACGTAGCTAGTGCGGCAAATAAACAAATTTCTTATTCCTAATATTCCAGACTTCTCTTCTACATGCAAATATATTACGGCCTAAAAAATAGTTTACGCCTCCATAACATATAGTGGCAAGTTGTTTTTCACACGTCACGCTCTTGCCGACAAGTTTATATATTTTGGCTTCTATGGCGGTGAGTATGGTGGAAGCGCGAGCGATTTAAGATATTATACTATTATAGACGACCTCCGCTGTTGAGTGGTTTGTACGCCGGGTTCTGGTGGTGTCGCCTGCTCGAGAGGTTCAAATCCCGGTGGGGCAGATGTTTGTGCGATGAATGCGAACATTTGTACTCCAGTCATGGATGTTTAATATGTATTTCTATATAAATATACTTATACCTATATGTATCAGTATATATATTGTATCCGCTACTCTAGTATTCCATAACTCAAGCCTACAGTGCTTACTTTGGGTCTAGGCTAATTGGTGTGAGTATTGGAAATAGTTACAATTTATTTATTATTATATTTATACTTAAATTTTTCACCTGTGGAGGATGGGAGTTTTTAAAATGTCGCACGGTACATGGCAGTTAGCCATAGAGGCGATAGATCTGTTAAATTGCTTTTTATTTCAGTATATGATGCAATTTAAATATATTTAAAATACCTAGTCAAACTATCTTTTCATTTGGCAAAATTTTGACAATTAGAAACTTGCATAATATCACGCCAAAATCATTTTGTTATTTAAATTTATCTACAGTACTTTATTGTGGAGCCTTTCACTTATCATTTCACCAAAACTAAACACGTCTTAATATCCCATTATATACATATATTTGAGATAGATTAGATTAGATAGATATTACAAAACAAAAACTAAAAGTGAAGATATAAAATGTTAGCCCTTTAACTTTATTATTACTACAAAGTAAAAGTTAGACCCCGATATTCTCAAGTAGTAGGACCGCTAAAGAAATTGATATATAGGTGTATCAATTTCTTGATGGTGTCTGAATTGAATTAGGTCGGAAATCTTTTTGAAGTGAAACTTCTTAAGGCACGCTCGACTTGAGGGGTAAACTGGCAATGCGTTACGCGTTACGAAAAGCGACACCGGTGACTCTTCGGTAAACAATGAACAATATAGGCGCGCTTGACTTGGGGGATAAACTGGCGAATGCGCTACGAGTTACGCGTTACATATATATATATATATATATATATATATATATATATATATATATATATATATATATATATATATATATATATATATATACATCTTGCTGATCATATTGCGTCTTATATGGCGATTTTTGCTATTGATCCTGCGTCCGACCGACTTGATGCGTCCGGTATACGGACGCAAGATTAACCTAGCCTCATTTTTGGTGCAAAGACGTCTTTTCATGCATAGAATGCATGGGCAAAAATTTGGCGTGGACTCAATTTCATCACCAGAATGCTTTTTAACGTATTTCATAGTGCAACCATTGACCGTGCGGAATTTGGAGGGCGCTACCGTGCAGTGTATATTTTGCAATGTATATTTCGGGTTCAATTTACAGATTTTATTGCGTCTTCCTATATATATTTAAAAAAGTTTTTATCAATTCTCTACGATGATTATCTTGCATCCAGTAGGCATCTTAATTTGCGAGATCGCGCGACACCTGAGGGGCCCGTTTTGGGTGCATGGGAGAGACGAAACTGGGCGTCCTACGGGTCGCGTGTGTTTGTATACAGATCCGTGCTCCGTGGATGCAAACTTATTACCGGAGTGAAATTTATCGTATTATTTGATAGAAGTAAATAAACGTAAAACAATGAAGAGATTTTTTTTATTTTAGCAAATTTGATATTTTATACCATTGATAACTATTAGGATATTATTGTTTTGTTTCCGTTTTCGATTTTTTATAATGTAGATACATAATGAACCTACACGATTAATCGATATTAATGATCGAGAGAACTTTAACAACGTTAATTATTAGCCCCTATTTTATTAAGAATGTGATTCATTTGTTATTTTGTGGTAATGTACTTACCTACAGAGAATTCTAGTGAGAACTGTTGGTTAAATTGTTAAGTATACAGTATGGTTCAGCCTTTGTTATGGTATTTATAATATCACATCTAGAAAACTTGTTAAATATGTCACTGAAGTTAACTCAAGCTTATTTCTATGCACCATTTGCTAATTTGTATCAATGATTTTTTTTTGATATCCCAATTAACCTGACCTCTTCACTATCACTTAGTATGTATACACGTATTCACCTTCCCTATAACTTATACAAATTCAAAATTCGAATTCAATATCAACGCAACCGTGCCCTCCACCAACACGACAAGACGAGCCAAGCAAAGTGCAAGGGCTCCACGTAACTTTTCCCGAAGGGCTTCGTCATTTTAGTGGACCTTTATAAGTAGGGTTTGGATTATCCACATAAAAAAATCTCGAGTTATATAAGTAACGGTGAAGTCCAGACGCGATAGCTGATACAGCAGTTCACCTGCCACACCAGCCATCCTCACCCTGCCGGCCTGCATGTTGCTTCTTCACGCCTCCTTTAAAGAATCCCAGGTTGTAAGAGGGAGGGAATACGTGAGCGGTCAGCGCATTCCATCTATGGATAGTGCAACAAAAAAATGAGTGAAGAAATTTCTTTGTAAGCGTTGGAATTGTGGCCACAGTTAGTCGGTGACAACGTAGGTCAGCGCGCGAGGTCCAATGAAGGAAAGGGGAAGGTGGGATAAGAGAGAATAACTCCTCAGAACACTCGCCGTGGTACAGACGATAGAACGTGCTTAGTGACGCCACGTCACGGCGTAATTGTAGAGGCTCTAGGTGTTTAGTCACCTCTTCATCGCCTATAATGCGGATCGCGCGCCGCTGTAACCCATTCAAGGTATCGAACAAGTACTTGGTGGAGTCATCCCAGGATTGCGAGCAAATTTCCACGCAAGACCGCACCTGCTCCTTATACAACAAGCACAGTTAAATTGCTCAGGCGTGAAAAAACGCCGAAAAAAACCTTGAAATAAACCTTGTTCATGAAAGGAATGGCAACGTTTTTGCCGTGAAAGCGCAGACCTGGGTTTTATTAGCATTGAACTCAACCAAACCTGGTACCCCATTCAGAAATATGGTCCAAAGCCTGATTGAATTCAATGACAAGATTCTCCCGTTTCTCCTTGGTAACCGCCTGCCCAGCCGCTGCTTGTCCGAGCTACCCCGCATGCACTGTACTATCGTATGCATCGCAATGAATATTCCCAAAAGGAATTTTAGTCATTGATATGCAGCAGAAAGATAGTGGGGGATAGGACGGAGCCCTGAGGAACGCCGTCATTCACTGACATGAACCGCGAACTGTTACCATTCGTAAGGACACGAATTCTACGTTCATGCAGGAGCTACCCAAGAACAGAACTGTGCTGGCAGACCGTATGCCGGAAGCTTGGAGAGAATGCTTTTGTGCTAGACCCTGACGAACGCCTTGGCAATGTCAAGGCTGATAGCCAACGAGTTGCTCCGCTTGTCGATAGCCTCACCCCAGATATGAGTCAAGTACGCTAGAAGATCACCCGTCGATAGTTTGGGTCTAAAACCATATTGAAGATCATTAATCAAGGATTCATCCTCTAGGTAGTGGGTCAGATGGTTGTTAAGAACCTTTTCTAGGACTTTATATAATACTGGGGTGACTGCTATTGGCCGGTAGTTTACCGGGTCTGAGGGATCCCCTTTTTTGGGCACCGGTTGCACGTTGGCATCTCTCCAAGTCTCCGGCACACACCCCAAAGAATACGAGCATTGGTACAAGCGCGTGAGAGCCGAAGACAACTCCGCTGCACATTTTTTTGGTACTACTGATGGGATGCCATCAGGTCCACCAGCTTTCCGGATGTCGAGTGATTGCAATTCGACACGAACCTCACGCTGCCTGATTTTAATATCAGGTATCGTTGTGTCACAATGAGGTAATGATGGTGGCAGTGCATTGCAAATATCGATTCTAGAGTTAGCCGCAAAGAGTTTTGCCAGTAAATCGCCTTTCTCCCGTGGCTTATGAGCTAGTGTTCCGTCAGGGCATCTCAGAGGTGGCAGCGAGAGCTGGCAGAAGTTCTTTTGCACGGCCTTGGCCAAACGCCAATAGCTACGGAAGCCCGAAGGATGCGTTATAAGTTCGTGACCAACACGTGTAACGCGCTGGGCATCCGCTGTAATCCTTCTTACAGGTCTTGAAAGCAAAATTATAGGCTGCTTTTAGTGAATCGACCCCGGGATCCTTAAGAGCGCGGCCTCAGATCCAAGCACGATATGCCGCTTGCTTACGCGAAACAGCTTCAGCACAGTGGTGATTGAACCAGAGGTTACGTGTGTCCTTACTGATGAGATTGGAATGAGGAATATAGTATTGCATTACCATTACAATCTCCTCAGAATAACAACGGCGCTGGCCGATAGGTTCTTGTCACTGAAGCAGCGCTGCTTCCAAGGGACGGACGCAAAGTTGTCACGCATACCGTTCAAATCTGCCGACCCATAGTGACAGATCCGGCGTTGTACCACCGTTGGACGCGCAGGCTTGGCCTGTGGCGCTTTGGTAGATAACGGGCAGTGATTCGAAGAGCCCAGAGACCGCTTACCACAACCTGACAGCTCTGTGGATGGATCGTGAGCAGAAGGTCCAGTAATAAAGGTGCTTGACTTGAAATATCTGGAATCCTGGTGGGCTGATCGACCAGTTGCTTCAAGTCATGCGTGAGCAGAGGCCTGCATGGTTGGTTTTCGAGGAACTTAACCACAACTTAAAATTGTGGTAAGCATTAAATTCTCCCAAAAACATCAATTCTGCTTTGGGAAATTGTTCTTGCGCGTCATCTGCTGCCCGACTAAGGTGTTCGAAAAGTCGAGTTGTCTCAACATCGCGAGTATGGGATCTGTAGAGGCACACGTAGACTTTGGCCTGGGGACCAGAGTCGACGTGTACCACCAGCATGGAGTAGGAGTGATCTTCCAAGCAGGGGAGATGGCGACAACAAACATTCGCCCGAACATACAGGCATACACCGGCTTTCGCTTTGAAGGACACTTTAAACACGTAGCCGGGATAGTTAAGGTAGCCTGTGTCAGCAGGCAGAAGTATTTGTGTCTCCGTCAACAATGCTGGGCGTGGTCTTTCAAGATAGTGGTGGACAGCGTTGAGGTTAGAGTGGAGTCCGCGTATGTTGCAGAACTCTACCTTAAACAGCATTGAAGGCGAAGTTTGGGTGTATAGCGGTGCATACCTATGGGTGGGGTGGGGTAGGGTATGCACCGCTATACTTAGTTGTTTTAGGGGCTGCCATGGTGGAATTGAAAAAGAGACGTGAAAATGAGCGGGCGGTGTCGCGAAGAGTCCTGCCAAATTAGGAAGATTTGTTTTCCCGAATGACTGCCTGCAGAGGAGATGCGCCGACCCGCCGGACGGAAGCCCCCCCCCCCCCCCCCGGGAGTGGCCACCGTGACCCCACGCCCCGGTCACCAGCCGGCACGACAGTCCACCCCGAGATTATGCGTGACATGATAGGGCAGCCTCACGAACTGGTTAGTAACGCTCGGGCGCCTGTACTGTGCCACGGGCGGCCAGCGGGACAGCCGTTTCTACGGGTCTCCCTGGACGGCGGGTTGATGCAGTCCTCCCGGCATAGATTCGATGGATGCCTCCTCTGGACCGAATCAGTCGCGACAACCTCCAATCGAGCCCTGGTTGTATGCTGGCTGACCCCGAAACACGCGAGAAGCACTTAACGGGTTTTTCACCATGCGCACGGTGGTAACAAACCAGGCGGGTGTTAGGCTGCCTACCATCATAAGAGCGGATGGAAGCTCCGATATCCCTTATTCGCTTCTTACGACACCCACAGGAAGTGAAGGGGCGGTGAGTTGTATTCTTTCTCCGTCACCGCACTGATAAAATTGGTCTTAGTGTTAGGGCGTGTAGAGATAGAAGCATGGCTCTACGTGCGATCTGATAACTTTTTGTCCGTGCAAGTGATACATGATCCCGTCTTGGCAACATTTTCCATGAAAATGTTTTGGTGAGATCTTTTATTCAGTTCAGGCTTTCAGGCACTTGTGTACGTCAAGAAGCTACCCCATACAAATCTACGGCGGGGGGGGGGGGGGGGGGCTTGTACTAAGAAGCGGCAAGAAACTCATCAAGAGCTTGTTTTTTCACCCTGTAGGTATTATTTTAATACAGAGTCATCAAATTAAAAAATGAGGTCAGAGATAATTCATGAAGTCGTTTTCTATTACATATTTAATTCTTTATTTAGAGCCTACCTACTTCGAATTAGTCTATTTACACCAACTTTTCTTATTGTCTAACTATTATTATCTTTCCTAGGTACAACAAGGCTGGGTGGCTTGTATCGCTTTCAAATAACCTTTATACAAGGATTTATTATGGATACCCACTTTTAACCTAACTAATTTTTACATTGGGAAAATGAATAATACACCTAGACTTGAAGCCAAGCTCAGTGTTTGATCATAAGCCTACCCACTAAAAACCTTACAGATCGCCATTGGACAACTCTTGGCAGTACTTGCATCAGGCAAGACAACGGAACGGACAGTATTCTAAGTTATCCTTGGTGGATCCCTCCGACTCCGTTGTCGAAGATGTACACAGAGCACAACTATATTGTCGTTGGGCCCGTAAAATACAGGGTCAAGGGACCACGAAGCCCGAATCCCACCGGTAATCTTGAAATTCCAGACCAGCCGAGCTAAAAAAGTTATCTTAAATATGATCATGACTTTAATAAATAAAAATATAAAGACAAAAGTTACGGACCATTGTAAACTTTAAGATATAATAAAAAAAAGGAACTTCCCTGTCTACCCGACTGACCTGTGTAAAACTCAAAAATAACGATCAAGCTTTAAACAAAAATAAGTAATTGTAAGAACCTACTTACTACTCCCAAGACAATATAAGTGCTGGTGTACCTGGAAGCCGGTGGACTAGCAGGATGAATATTGTTGATATACAGTACCTACAGTATTCGGAACTAACAACTCTCTTTTTTAAAATTGAGGGACGTAACTTTGTAAAAATAAATCGTATAATGCAGAATCAATTTAAACATAAGTTTGGACGGAGGTAGGAGCATTTAAGCAGTGCATAGAAGATATACGTACATATTCAGTGTGCTGTATGGTTATGGTAGTGAACGGATGCCCTAAATTACCGGGAAATATTAAAATCGAATATTGGCATTTTATATTTTAACGCAATTTCGCGTAAACTCAAGAAATTATAATAATAAAAGCTACTTAAATACGCATTTAAAACATTCAAAATCGCGTCGAGTACAGTGGACGCCGCAGGGTGGCAGTTTGTAAAGATGCAAGAAGTCTTCGAAGATGTAAATATATATATAAATATAAAGAAAATATAACTAGAAAAAATTCCACGCGGACCAGGCAGCAGACGGGACTCGAACCCGCACCCTTCGCAATCCGGGCGAATGCACTGACCAATTATGCTACCGCGGCCCTCACGGACCGCGTCGAAATTCTTTCTAGCTATTCTTAAGCTGCAAGGCAGCGCCATCTCTTCGCATTATAGGTAAACCCACAATAAGAATTAAAAA